ATGCAGTAATTTTCATACCTGGTCTGATAACACAGCTGTATTTGTAGAGACGCTCCACTCTGTGCACCTTGTTGATGAAGATAGCAGCTTTGCACTGTCCATATACCTGCAAACAGAAATATATATTTCACTGTACTTTCTACTCCTGTAGAATATAAGTACATAACAAAAGACCTTTATTTACATTTTTGAAAATTCTAATAAGGCATTTTACAATTTATAAACCACTGCTTATCGATTAAGAAAATAAAAATATAATGAAAACAATTTTATTATAACAGCTACTCAAGAAAGCCTTGAGCAGAACAGTGTGAGTACATGCACTTGCAGGGTGTGTGTCTTTTCTAACCGGCGTGTTTGTTGTGGTACGAGTCTCACAGCTCTTCCAGTTCTTCTTGCTGAGAACGTTGCATTTGGTCTCCACAACATCCAGAATCAGGTAGAAGACCACACTGTTCTCTCCCTGTAACACGCACACATACAGTTTTATCAAAAACACAAACATTTACAGTCATTAAAACCTTAACAGAATTTAACAACAGTTTCTGGTTTTACTTCCCGAGATCTGTGAAATCTCCTGATTTGTAAGCTTGACCCCTTGCAAAATACAAACACTAGTTTTTTAGTGTTGCAGGTCTAATAGTTCCTTTCTGCCCATCTTTCTGTGCAATTGTGCTGTAACTGTTGCTGCTCTGTCTCCAGATTTCAGCCAAACGCTTTTCAGTCACAACCCTTTAAATGTCTGGATTGTACTGAAAACTAAAAGTGCTCCAGTAAACAAACAGAAATGCAATGAACTGAACTGGTTTGATACTGCAAGCAGCAGCATTGCTTACATGTCTCTTTATGTGTGCATTGGACAGGCGGTGCAGGCTGAAGATGTAGCCCTCCTTCCTGTCCTGGTTGATTTTGGTAAGAGCCAGTTCAGCAGCTGCTTTTGTTGATGCGTCTTCACATGAGCCTGGCTCCATGTCACCATGCTCCACTGGTGCACCATTGATGGTCACACAACCCAACGCCAGCAGCAGCGATAACAGCTCGCAGGTCTTCATGGTGGTACACACTGTCACACTCAGGCTTCTAGAAGAGATGTGCAGAGGAGAGGTCACATTTTATATCCTGCTACTGTCGCACACAGAGCTCCTCCTCCTGTAAAAAGTAAATATAACCACTGACCCCAGCTCCTTAGATAAGTCATGCTCATCTATCAGGCAACAAGTCAAATACTCACCAGACTGCACAATGGAGCTTATTAGCTGAGATATAATCATATTTTCAAGAGTCTTTCTTCTTTGGGATCAATGGGTGCAGCCAGTGGGTTTAAAGTCCCATGATCCACTCTAGCCACTGAGATTAATTAAGGACAAGGCTTAATGTTCGTTAAAGACAAACAGCATGGACAAGATACAGGACCACAGCAGTCAATGATCTAAAAAGACAAAGAATGTTGGAGAGTAATCAGAGCAGCTACTGATGACTGTACAACTTCATATCAGCTAACTGAAGCGATATCAGGTCACCACTGTCTGATTAAATCACAGAAGAACAGTGGGGCTAACTGAAACTTTCCACTGGCTTGTATACTATCTTCTTTTTCCACTGCATTTGGAAACACAAGCAGTATATGTATAGCAAGAACTT